GTCGGGTATCGGGTATACCCATACCCGTACTCGTACCCATCAAATTTTTTTATTATTTTTAAAATATAATATTTTTAAATTATTTTTTAATTATATTATAATTATAATTAGGTTATTTCTTTATCTCATATTATAATAAATAATCACACATAAAAAAATATTAAAATTCTTTAGTATAATTAAATTGAAAGTGGGTATTAAATTAAAAATGGGAACGAGGACGGGTACGGGGCGGGTAAGTACATACCCACACCCGTATCTGTACCTGATTTAATATATCGGGTTTTACTCGTACCCGTACCCGTACCCGGTCAAACCAGGTATTCCCCGTCAAAATCAGGATGGGTTTGGGTATTACCCGCGGGTACGGGTATATTTGTTATCCCTAAGTGTAACGGCCACGGCGGGTCGTTATAGAATGAATAAAGATAATTTTAAAAAACAAATATTTTAAAAATAAATTAATTAAAAAAATATTTAGAAATTTTTTTGAAAAAAAGACATTTATTAAAATAAAGAGAGAGAAAGAGGTGTTTATATCGTTCCTCCTTGTACTTTTGCAGAAAAATATGTTGCAGGAAGAATGTTTGAAGTAAATGATACACAAATAATTGCCTGCCTACTAGAACTCATTGCACCTGACCTAACACAGCTTCGTCATTTAATAATTTAGAAATTCAATCTTTATTTATTATATTAATTATTTTACACTTTTAAAAAAAAGAAATATACAAGTTTCTCCTACTTTATTATGTTTGGATTCTAATCCAAACAAAGTTCCCTTAAGATGGATAAAGTAAGTTTTGATTTGGGTTAACATTATTGAAGTATATAGTTGAATAAAATTGATTTTAAAAAAGCTTTGAGATATGGGGTGAGGTTGTTTAAACATTTTTTTTTTTGAACAAGTATACTTAACAGTTAACACTTGCCAGGAAATTCAGAAGCACAGGTTAAGTTCATGTTTGCAAGGATTTGAGAGTGGTTGATGAGCTTGGCAACCAGAAAGTTTCACTTGGCCAACATATACGTGGGAACACATGAAGCATCCATTGGGTCTGAGGATTTGAAAACTTGTTCCAAATCTTCTGCACTATTGTTTTTTTTTTTTTTTTGCTAACAAATCAACTTTTAAAGTAACCTAGCCCAGCCCAATTTATTTTGTAATGGACCAACTCAAATAGGGCTGATGATATATACACCTCCTATCATTTATAAATACACCTCCAATCTCTCTTTTTTTTTTTAAAATTCCTAAAATATCCTTATAACTAAATTTTTATTTTTAAAATTGTTTTATTCACTTCCTTATTTTATCATTCTTCTTCTTCTTCTTTCTTCTTCTTTCTTCTTCTTTTTCTTATTCTCCTTTTTTATCACTCTAGTCATTTTTTGATGATTTTATTCTTTTTCGTTTTTTATTCTTAATTTTTCTTCTTTTACAATCAACATAATCATATTTTATCTTTCTATCTTTTAAATTCTATTTTTCACTTTCCACTCTATTCTTTCTTAAACCCTAATTTTTCATTCAATCATCATTATCCTCTACATTCAATATAAGGTACAAAATTAATATATTAAATTACATTTCATATTTACAATTTTTTTAAACTTATTTAACATTACTTATGCACAACAGGTTCGATCGCAGACGCCAGTGGTGGATGAAGAGATAAAGAAACTGGTAGGTTAAATGTGTCATGCGCTTGTAAAATAAGTTTTTTAGCATTCCGGAAAGTACTTTCCGGAATAGTAAAATTATTGTTCATATAATTCTGGAAAGAGCTTTCCGTAACAGTAACTTTAATATTATGGAAAGTACTTTCCGGAATGTAAAATAAGTTTTTTAGCATTCCGGAAAGTATTTTCCGGAATAATAAAATTATTGTTCATATAATTCTGGAAAGAGTTTTCCGTAACAGTAACTTTAATATTATGGAAAGTACTTTCCGGAATGTAAAATAAGTTTTTTAGCATTCCGGAAAGTACTTTCCGGAATAGTAAAATTATTGTTCATATAATTCCGGAAAGAACTTTCCGTAATAGTAACTTTAATATTATGGAAAGTACTTTCCGGAATGTAAAATAAGTTTTTTAGCATTCCGGAAAGTACTTTCCGGAATAGTAAAATTATTGTTCATATAATTCCGGAAAGAACTTTCCGTAATAGTAACTTTAATATTATGGAAAGTACTTTCCGGAATGTAAAATAAGTTTTTTAGCATTCCGGAAAGTACTTTCCGGAATAGTAAAATTATTGTTCATATAATTCCGGAAAGAACTTTCCGTAATAGTAACTTTAATATTATGGAAAGTACTTTCCGGAATGTAAAATAAGTTTTTTAGCATTCCGGAAAGTACTTTCCGGAATAGTAAAATTATTGTTCATATAATTCCGGAAAGAACTTTCCGTAATAGTAACTTTAATATTATGGAAAGTACTTTCCGGAATGTAAAATAAGTTTTTTAGCATTCCGGAAAGTACTTTCCGGAATAGTAAAATTATTGTTCATATAATTTCGGAAAGAACTTTCCGTAATAGTAACTTTAATATTATGGAAAGTACTTTCCGGAATGTAAAAGTATATTCATATTACTCTTGGTGACATTGAGCGAAAAGAGATTTTGGGAAGAAGAGGGGTGTGAGGTGTGGGGGTGCGGATAAGAGAGGTGTAAATTTAGGAATTAATTTTTTTTTTAAAAGGATAATTTAGACATTTTATATATTTTTTTTAAAAAAGGGGTGTGTTTATATGAGGGTGGAGGTGTGTTAAACATCTACCCTCAAATAGCTAGGTTCCGTAACAGTAACTTTAATATTATGGAAAGTACTTTCCGGAATGTAAAATAAGTTTTTTAGCATTTCGGAAAGTATTTTCCGGAATAATAAAATTATTGTTCATATAATTCCGGAAAGAACTTTCCGTAATAGTAACTTTAATATTATGGAAAGTACTTTCCGGAATGTAAAATAAGTTTTTTAGCATTCCGAAAAGTACTTTCCGGAATAGTAAAATTATTGTTCATATAATTTCGGAAAGAACTTTCCGTAATAGTAACTTTAATATTATGGAAAGTACTTTCCGGAATGTAAAAGTATATTCATATTACTCTTGGTGACATTGAGCGAAAAGAGATTTTGGGAAGAAGAGGGGTGTGAGGTGTGGGGGTGCGGATAAGAGAGGTGTAAATTTAGGAATTAATTTTTTTTTTAAAAGGATAATTTAGACATTTTATATATTTTTTTTAAAAAAGGGGTGTGTTTATATGAGGGTGGAGGTGTGTTTAACATCTACCCTCAAATAGCTAGGTTACCTTACTTAGATTGAATTGTAATTATTGTGATTAATATTCAAAATGGATATTTTTTTGTCTAGTGTCACAATTCAATGAAAACATATTTGGTATTTCTCTCGTATTGTGGGGAGTGGTCAACTCAATCATTTTCATAAAAAATGAATAAATAAATTTCTGAAAAGGTTATTGGGGTTAAAATATAACTCTCTTACGTAAGATTAGTTGTTCTGTGCCTCTGGTGGTTTGCGTCCTTTGAACTATCGTTAACCTTTGTGCAGTTTCCGAAAGAAAATCAATTCTGATTTAAAAAAAAAAAAAGAACTTTTTAAGTTGTGCTTACAAAATAACTCTTTTTTTTCCCCTTCGCTTTGATTCCAAATTGTTTAAAATTAATTACTAACTTTTTATATAAAAAAGTATTTAAGAATTTTTATTTATACTAATATATAAAAAGAATACTATTTTTAATAATTACTTTTGATTTTCATTTTTACATAAATTATGTTATCTTTTATTTATTTTTCAATAATTATCTTTTTATAAATAATTTCTTTTTTTTTATAAATATAATGGAGGTGCCCTTTTTCCTGCTCTCCATAAAACGAATTCCGCAAACAATTAACGCAAATCTCTGCAACGCAAGTCAAATAAATCAAATAAAAACGCAGATCAAAGTGAATATAAAAAAAAGACTAAAACTAAAGCTTGATATTGAACCATTGACCAATGAAAAATGAACCTTCATTGTACATCCCAAGAATAGTATAAACTTATTTAATGAAAAATTATTTTCTTAACCTAAACAGTATATGAATTGTAACTTTCAAGTTTCAACTATCAACTATATCTACTCCCACATGCACATTAGGAAGTATAAATGACCCAATGTTGACCATCAACAGTAACCTTCAGATGGTTGACTTTGGCGAACAAATCAACGGCTCTCCGAACCCCTCTATTATCCGCAGCAGTGAAATAATCGTGCCCGAAAATAACCCCACCGGGTCGGAGGATCCGAAAACCGCGGTTTATGTCGGCCCAAGCGGACAAAAAATCGTGGCCCGCATCGATCTCAACCAAATCCGCCATCACGCCCCACTCGCATAGCAACATCAGGGTCGACCCGCTAGAAAACGGAACGGGTAAAACCGTTTCGGAGTGCTTAAAAGTAACCACGTTCTGAAGGAACTGGTAATAAAGCCAAACGTCACCGTTTTCCATCGGGATTTTACCGAACCGCTCCTTGAACCCGGCCCAGCCGCGAAAGTCGTCCACGCAGAGGATCTGAGTCTCCAGGCCGAGTCGCTGAGTCAACCCGGCCATGTGAATCGCCGACGCGCCCAGGAACGTGCCCACTTCCACCACGATCTTCGGCCGCACGCGCCGGATGACGTTCTCGAAAACGGCGCCGTTGGAGCCCCACCCCTTCACCTGCGACGTCCGGAGCTTCGCCGCCGCGTGGGGCGGCGGAAAGTTATCGTACGGCGAGGTGCCGTTGAAGAGGCGGTCGACGAGCGTCCGGCGGACTGTCTCCGGCGGGATTGGATGGGCGCAGCGAGTTGTGACTCGGAAGGGGTTCAACTGGGTGGCGTTAATCGAAAAGTGTATAATTGGTGGCGACAATAACATAGGTGGTGGTGGTGACGGTAATAACGAAGATGATGACGATTTTGACAACGATGATTGTGAGGGTGATAAAGATAATGTGGTGGGAGAAGGTTGATGGGATAGGTAACCTAGGGCGTAGGTTAGCAGAAGTAGGATAAAATACGCGGCAGGTTTTGCTGCTTTGATAAAGGTGGGGTTTAAGGAAGGTGATGAGAGTCTTCTGTGGTGGTCTGTTTTCATGTTTGTGGAGATTTTTGGGGGAATTATATTATAGGTTTAGACTTATCAGAAACAGTTGGTTTATATGTGTTTTGGTTTTTTGATGAGTGCCGACAACTAGTGACCACAGAACTGAAGAAGATATGATTCATTCTTCTTCAAGTGTTACGATTTTGGAATTTGGTTGCGCCATTTTTCTTACCCCTCAATCACTACTGCATGGATTTCAGGTTGTTTCACCTTTCGAGTTCTTCACACTTCCCCAGGATAAAAAATTAATAGATGGGGCAATGAGTTTTAAATATTCAACTGCCTTGGTGTCTTTCCTCAGTTTCCTGAATTACAGTATCATATTTTTTTGTATTTTAGTAATTTTTATTTAGTCAAGTTCTATGTTCATATCAGTGTCAACCATCTTAACTACGGTAGTAAATAATGAATAAATCTTTGCTTTTATTACATTGTTTAATGTTTGTGCCCCATGAGATTCCCTGTATAATATTATGTGCTTAACGTGCTTTTATTTTAAAAGTGTAAATCTTTTTATTAAGTAAATTAATTAGAAGTTATTATTCATATTATAATTTTATGATATAATTATAACGGCTAATAAATTGAATATATATGATATTTAATTTGTGATCGAATAATTTTGGTCAATACATTACTTTTTCTAATATTTTTTAGGTATTATTTAAGAAGAGAACTTTATTTATATATTAAGAAATATGATTAATATTTTATATTAACCTTAAAGTTATTTTTTAATTTTTAAATATATTTTCTATTACTTTCTTTTTTCATTTATAGTTTGTGTATATATATGATATTTAAAAATAAATAATAAAATTAAATATATAATTAATTACATAATAATTTATGTTGACTTAATTCTCAAAAGAATAAACAAACAAACAATATTTTTTCTTATAAAGATAGAAAGCTAAAAATGAAAATAGTATACAATGATATATATATATATATATATATATATATATATATATATAAAAGAAAAACTCCACTTAGTTAAGAGATAAATTTTTTCATACTTAGGAATCATGATTTTTGAGAATCACTAATTTCAGGAATCATGATTTGTGAAAATAGCTAAAATCTGTTTGGTTACTCATAAAAGATTCTTGAAAATATTTATACAAGATTTTCGAAAATTAAAGATTTTCATATTTTGTTACAATAGTATATTTTTGTGTATATAAATATTTTTTTATAAAAAATATTCTTTATTAAAATAATTTCATTAGATATATATTTACTTAAATCTTATTACAAATATGATATTAAATTATTTTAAAAGTAAAAAACTTATACAGATAAAGTTATTTAAATATAGAATTCAATAAAAGAAATAAATAAATAAATAAATGTTACTTAATAAATAAGAAAGATAAAAATATATTATTTTATTTTATTCAAATAAAAGAATACAAATGCTAATAAATATCATTAAATTGTATAAACAAATTAAATTTTAATAATATTATTAAAATTGATAGGGTTAATAAATAATGAGATATAAGAACAAGAGAGAAATGGAGATATGGGAGGGGGAGAGAAAGAGAAGAAGAGAGGGGGAGAAAGAGAGTGAGAGTGAGAGTGAGAGAGAGAGGGGAGAGAGGAAGAGAGGGGGAGAAAGAGAAATAGAATGAGAGGAAGAGAGAGTAAGAGTGTGAGAGAGTGGGGAAAAGAGAAATAGAAGTAGAGAGAAAAAAGATAAATAGAAGTAGAGAGAGACAAAGAGAGAGACTTTCTATTTTAAAAAGAGATATTGTAATCTTTTTTATATACACAAAAAATTTTCCTTAAATCAAGAAAGTTTGATTCTCATCCCCTTATGGAATGTTTTTGTAGGAAAGTGGGATAAAAATGGTTCTTGGAAAACTATGTTATTGGCAATCTTTATTTTATTAAATAGCTACCAAATATGAGAAACTAGGATTCCTGATTTAAGATTACCAGGAATGTAAAAACATTCTACGTACCAAACACCACCTAAGTGTATAAGTCTTAATAAAGACTTAATATACTTTATAACTCATGTTTTATATCAAATTTAACGATTCAACTGTTAAATTAAAAATTCTTAATGCATAAATTAAGTTTATAATTTTTTTTAAAATTAAAAATTATTTGATAATTCTTTTCATTAATTCAAATTAATGGATAATCATAAAATTATTTTACATGTTGATTTGAAAAATTTATATAATGAAGTATTATATGGTTTACAAATTTTTCCAAACTTTGTAAACTTGATCTGTGCATTAAATTTTTTTAATTTAACATTAGATCAATGAAATTTGATGTAGAATACAAATTATTAAGTGGAGTTTATGGTTTAGGATTTGAATCGTGATTGATATAATTAGAAACAATAGAAATTTATTAATAATTAAACAAAATATGTATGCAATAAGCAACATTTAACAAAAATATTTTTAAAGTATTTTTTTAAATATTACCTTGGACCATTGAACTATCGAATCAAATTAATCTAATTAAAAAAATATTTAAAAATTAAATATACTTTTACAATAAAAATAATAAAAAATATAACATGATTAATTGATACTATATATCGTTATGAAACACCAAATAACTTTACATGTATACAATTTTCAACAATCATTATATTTACATTAATTATATAAAGTTTGTGTTTATGATATTTAAAAATAATTAATAAATTAAATATATAATTAATTACACAATAATTTATGTTGACTTAATTCTCAAAAGAATAAATAAACAACCAGTATTTTTTTCTTATAAAGCTAAAAATGAAAATAGGTTTCAATAATATATATATAAGAGGTTTCAGACGACACCGGTGTAACTTTTACTAAGTATTACACCGCTCAATAACTTTATATATTAAATATGAATTTTGAAAATCTAACCGTTAGATTAAAAGCTCATATCTCTTAGATCATGTATGTCAAATTTTGTTAAAATTGAACAACAACTTGAAGGTAATCAAAGTGTTCATATTTTAGTATATTTTGAAATGTATATATTACGTTAATTTTATTTTATGAAAATGAAGCATCAAATCATCTTAGATTAATATAAAATTTGACATATATGATTTAAGAGATATGAACTTTCAATTTAACGGTTGGATTTTCAAAATTCACATTTAATATAAAGTTATTGAGCGGTGTAACACTTAGTAAAAGTATATATATATGAGGAGGGTTCAAACGACACTGGTGTAACTTTTACTAAGTGTTACACCGCTCAATAACTTTATATTAAATGTGAATTTTGAAAATCCAACCGTTAGATTGAAAGTTCATATCTCTTAGATCATATAT